TGAGTACGTCTGGGTATGAGAATGTCTGAGTATGAGTAAGTGTGAGTATGGGTAAGTCTGAGTATGAGTAGGTGTGAATATGAATATGCCTGAGTATGAGTAGGTCTGAGTATGAGTAAGTCTGAGTATGAGTAAGTCTGAGTAAGAGTAGGTCTGAGTATGAGTAGATCTGAGTATGAGAGTATCTGAGTATGAGTAAGTCTGTGTATGAGCAAGTCTGAGTATGAGTAACTCCGACAGGAGGGGAGGAGGAAAGAGGAGGAGGGAGAGTGAGTAGGAGGCGTCCAAGTAATAACAATCACCCCATCTTAGGATATGGGGAAAAAAACGTATCCCCACCAGCCCGTCCAGAAACGACGCCCAGGCGAGTAGAGGGTCGTCCTGAGGGGCTTTTCGGCGTCTTGGGTGCCTCGGGGGGGCCTCTGTGGGCCGTTCGAAATCCTCTTTGGGGCCTCCTGGGGGCCTCTTGGGGCCTCTTGGGGCCATCTTGGGGCCTCTGGGAGCACCTTGGGTGCCTCTGGGGGGTCTCTTGGGGCCTCTTGGGGGTCTCTTGGGGGCCTCCTGGGGGCCTCTTGGGGGGCCTCTTGGGGCCATCTTGGGGCCATCCTGCGGCCTCTTGGGGCATCCTGGGGGCCTCTTGCGGCCATCGTGGAGGAAATCGATCAAAGAAGAAGGGTTCCTAAATTTCAGCCCCCCCCTCAGGAGCCACGATCCTCGTGAGGGGTGTAGAATTTTAACCCTCCCAGGGGTCGTTCTTGGACGCTCTAACTACCCGCGGCCCCCCCTGTCCAGGTCAGTGGGGAGGGGGTAGGGGGAGGGGTAACCCACCCCCCGAAGGGGAAGAAGGAGGGGTGGAAGAGGAAACTCGTTAAACCACCGACGCCCAGAGGGCTGGTGGGATTGGCAGCAGGAGCGCCGAATTTGGCCGAGGTTGGCCCCGAGAGGGCTCGAGCGGGCCTGGGTGACGTAAACATTGTCACAAGGTCATCTGTGTCACTCCAGGGGAGGAGGGGGAAGGGGGATGATCCCCCCCCCCCCTCCCCTGGAACCCCCAAGCATTCAATACGCTGCAATAGGGAACGATCTGGGTTCGGAAGGGGCTCGATGTTCCTTAGGTTCCTCCTCTGCTGTTCCGCTTGCCCTCCTCGGGCACGGAGGCGCTTTTAATGTCAAAAGATGTGTGTTCGTTCCTTATGTAGCGT